TCGTTAAATTAACGATTTTTGTCTCGAACGACGCAGCGTCGTAACGACTTCCTGTCAAACGAAATCGTTGGAAGTTGATGGGTCTCCTGGAGTTGGTGGCCTCAAACATTGTTTCGCGAATCGTTCGACTGGTCAGTGACTTCGTGCTATTGTGGATCTTCAAATTTTTCAAAGGAAAACTTCAACAAGTGAAAGGTGAGTTCCCAAAAAAAAAATTTGTTTTTCAGAAATAACATTTTCTTTGAAAATTTTTGCAGATGGCGTTTTTGAGGATCCTGGTGTTGCTGGTCGTCGGTGTTGCGGCTGTTGGGGCGGACTGCGGTCCCAAAGACGGAGTGTTCGTGTGTCGGGACGTCTGCGGCGAGGAGGTGAGAGGCGCCTGCGGCTACGGGCGCCGCGTGACGTTTGTCGGAGCGGCGCTGTTCTTGGACTGTGTCAGGCAGGCGGACTTGAAGGTGAGTTTCGAAAAAATGAAACAAGTGCTAGTATAACAGCCAGGCTTGTTGTAGGAGGTGAAGCTGCTGTCGCCAACGGTCTGCGTCGGACGTCGGTCCGAGATGGATCGAGTGGTGACGCCTTGGAGGTGGTGCGAGGAGGTCGTGCCCCCCGAACCAGAGATCTCGACGGCGGCAGTTCCGCCGGTGGTTGGTGAGTTGTTTCAGCTTTTCCACACAAACATAAAACATTCCAAAAACACAACTCACACACACAACATCGTAACACATATCCGACACCTGACCAACACCAAGACAAAAATTTTCCTTCACCAGATATTAATAAAAATTTTGTATGTACAGACGAGCCTCGCCCGGTGGCGCCAACGGCCAACCTGGCGGTCGTCCACGTACCGGCGAGCAAAACGCCGTTCGTGGTCCGGGCGCCGCCCTCAACGCAGCAAAGCGTCGTAGTGGCCCAAGAGGTGCCACATGTCATCAAGGCACCATCGTCGACGCCAGAAGTGACAGTCAACATCAAGCATGGTGTTGCGCACGTCGAGGCGGACGTGGACCCTTGGACGGCCATGGTTCTGGTTTTCATGGGCCTTGGGGGAGCTGGAGCCACGTCTCTGGCTGTCTTTTTGGTTTGGCTCGTGAAGTTCATCAGGAACAAGGTTAGCCAATTTTTCTTTTGTTTTAATAAAAATGATTAACAATGCTTTTTGCTTTTGTGCTTGCTTTGCTTTTCTGTGCATGCCTTTTTCAAAAATAGAGAAAGAAAAGAATTTTAAAGTTGGATAAAGCTAAAGTTAAAGAGTGCATAGTAGGATCTATGCCCAACATATTTTTTAATGGGCTAGATTCTGATGATGAGGAATTTGAAGTTTTCTCTCAGAACTATGCAGATATCAGGGCTAGATCCCCAAGAGTATCAACATTTAGACAAGGTAAACAAATAGCATATAAATACAAAACAACGCATGCAATAATTTTTGATGCTTTGCTTGGGGCTTTTTCTTTTTGTCTTTTCTGTACAGTCATTGTACATGCGGGAGTTGGTGCAGATGCTGACGCCGGAGGATCAACAGGATCCGGAAGCCCAACCAGTGGTGGATCTGCTGGGGCTGGAAGAGACGGATAAACCCGTCAAGAACGTCGAGAAGGAGGAAATGGTCCTTGAGGACACTAATCCGTTTAAAGAGATGTTGAACGCGTAATATGTAAAAATCGCGTCAAAGAAAGAGAGTGCCATTTTTCGTACCCGCGTTTTTTATATGGGTAAAATTTTGATGCTTTGCTTGGGGCTTTTTCTTTTGTTCTTTCTGTACAGTCATCGTACATGAGGGAACTGGTGCGGATGCTGACGCCAGAGGATCAGCAGGATCCGGAAGCCCAACCAGTGGTGGATCTGCTGGGGCTGGAAGAGGCGGATAAACCCGTCGCAGAAGAGAAAAAGGAAGAATTGGTCCTTGAGGACAGTAATCCTTTTAAAGAGATGTTGAACGCGTAATATGTAAAAATCGCGTCAAAGAAAGAGAGTGCCATTTTTGTACCCGCGTTTTTATATGGGTAAAAGGCAATAAGAGAGATTGTAAAAAGAATTTCTGGCCTCTGATTCTCTTTTTTGTTTGTCTTTTTCAGCCGAATTCTTTTTCAGAAAGTGTTAACATGTCAATGTTAATTGAAATTTCCTTAATCTTTTTTGGATAGATTGTTTATATGGGATTTCAAATTTTCTAGTTTCAATTTTATAAAACAAAAGTATTTTTAAATGCTGTATAGTGTATATATAATGTGCCATTTCTCTGTATATATTATACAGAGTTGCACAACGTAGACAACGGAGTAGTTTTTACAAGTATTTTTTTTAAGAGCTGTGCTGTTCACATACAGAGCTGCGCTGTTCTCTATATGGCACAGTGCCTGTCGTTTAGGTGTTGCTTTTGACTAGCAGAGTACCTAACCACGGAAGGCATTGTAGCGTCTACCTGTCAGCTAGCCGGTTGAAATGAATTTTGACCTTATATTGGGGTATTTATTCCAAATCGGTGTATTATGCCTCTGCTTGTTATTAATTTACCAAATGTGTCGTTATAAGAAATTGAGTAACGTACATAACACTAAATAATTACTTGATCATGTAAGTAAATGTTTGGAAATAGATAGGAAGGCGTTGTGCTTCATATTAAAAACACGCCGATTCAAAACCATTAAAGTGTATTTGAACATTTTGAATATCGGTTATAATTAACAGTTAATTCTTACTTTCTGTATGTTATTATATATTCGTATTGTCTTTATAACTTGCTTTTATCATTGAATAATGCACTGAGAAGTTTAACTTAACATGTATAAATGTAATTTTTTTTATGCCGATTTTTATCGGGTATCTGCGTATGGTGTGGTGAAATGTCCGTTACCTTAACCAACGTACGTTGGTATGCTTTTAGCAGACGCTGATCTCTTAATGAAATGTTAAAGAAACATGTACTTGCGCTGCAAATAAAGATATAGGTGTTTTAATTGACGTGAGCATGTTGTAATGTTATTCTGTCGAAGCCGATCAAAGCCGATCGTTATTGGACTTTGTTGTTTTTGAATGTCGGTTTACTGTGAATTTTTACCGACATGCATCGGTATGCATTTACCAGACCTCGATGATGTTGCCGACCTTTGCTGGGAACCTATAAAAACGTGTTTTTGCTTGAATAGGTCACAAGTGCCATTGTTGGTTTTTTAAGCATACATGTGCATATGGTTCTTTTTTACCGACATGCGTTGGTATTCATTACCAGACGCCGATGATGTCGCCGACGTGTGCATGGAACACCAAAAAACCTGTTGAATCGTGATTATGGCACAAAAGCTTGTACGATTCATACGCAAACATGTTCACATGTTATTATTTTAATTATAGTCATTAAAATAGTTTCTTGGCAAATGGTGGTTTGAAGTGTCGGTTATAATGTGACCTTAACCAACATGCGTTGGTATGCAATTACTACACCCCGACAATGTAACCAATGTGTGTTTGTAACTGATGTGTGTTTGGAACACTACAGTACAGTAGGTATAACGTGACCTTAACCAACATGCGTTGGTATGCAATTACTACACCCCGACAATGTAACCAATGTGTGTTTGTAACCGATGTGTGTTTGGAACACTACAGTACAGTAGGTATAACGTGACCTTAACCGACATGCGTCGGTATGCATCTACTAGACCCCGACAATGTAACCAATGTGTGTTTGTAACACTACAGTACAGTAGGAATATAAGCTTTAAAGGACAAAAACGGTTGCTTTAATTACACTTATACATATTCGGATGTTATTTTCTTAATTATACCGATTATAATCTTTTATCAGGCAGTGGAGGTTTGGAAGTGCTTTTTATTTGCAACGTCGGTATTTAGTAGTTGACAGTAATTACACTGTCCTTTTTTATTTTCTTTTTAATTAAATGAAAAGGAATTCAATTCACAGTATTGCTCAGTTTTTTGTTTTCCAAAACCACCCGTATCAATTTCGCGTTGAAAGAAAAAAGTACAGAAATAAATACTTCAAATAGCTTCGTACACTTAGCTGCAATGCCTATCCTTATCGTCTCCTATCTTGGCATATACTTCTTCAAGGTCACTCTCTAATTCACTTTGCTCCTTACTGTTACCAATGAACACGTTCTTCAATTCTTTCAAACTTTTTGCACTTTCATAATTAGCTGCGAAATTATTAGTCAGTTGTGTCGAATCTTCGCCATCAATACTTCTTTCCTTCAACCCAAGTGCTTCTTTCCGAGTTTTCCTTTCAGCATTGCGTAGTTCGCGTAAAACCTTGTTAATGAATGTCCTGCAATAAAAACGTAAAAGTAATATCATAATGAATTAAAGTATCCATTTTTGATTTTCCATTTTTGCAAATTACCTCAATTTCGGCATGTTGTCATCATTCAAGTGAAGAGCAGCAAAGTTTTCAATAAGTGCATAAAATCCTGGCAGCTTATTTAATGGCTAGTAAAGTAGAATTGAAACAAGAGGTTAATGATCAAATTTACCAAATTTTTGAGCATTTCTTACAATTCTCAGTCCAGGTTGGTTAAGGCGATGCTGTAAGTTCAGGGGGTACATGTCATGATCCAGTATGAGTGGATTGTCCTGTTCATGAGTAAATGGCTGTGAATCTCTGTCTTGGACTGTTTTGATGATGTCCTTTTGCCTTTCTATGTATGGAATCACAAAATCAAAATACGCATGTTAATAATCAAAAATATTATGGAAATATAATCAGTAAATGATGAATAATGAAATCACCTCTGCCTTTGCAGTGCTGTGTCTTTGAATTGACACAGTAAATCTGTGCCATCATCCGGTGCTGGAAGAAGCGCCGCATGAAGCAACTGATTGCCTTTTTCCCATTAGGTGGCTTCCAGTGTTGTTCAATCCAAAGAATCTGTAGGAAACGAAGTAAAATGATTATAAATGTATGAAGTACTTTAATTTATTATTTGTAGGTACAATATGTTAAAGTGTTGGCATGCCGATGTAGTATTTATGTTTACCGCCTAACATCGGCGTTTTTCACAAATCACCGTCCAACATTGGCATACAGATGAAATTAACTTCCAACATATTTATTCTGACTATTAGAAATACTAAGAAAGAATTACTAACTAAGTCCTTCCGAATTGTTTCGTCCAACAGTAGTGCATCTACTTCCACCAACTCGCTCCTCTTCTTGACAGGAATTACCAACCTTGAATCGAATTCGTATCCCTCTGTAATTTCTGCAATGGCCTTCTCCAGTTGTCCCCTCCTCGCTTTGTCTTTCATTGTTGATAACCAGGGTAGGAGAATGCCTTCGTCATCCCTTGGATGATCTGGACGTGACTTCATTTGTATGTGTTCATTCATATTTCAACGATGTAAATAAAAAAGTGACACCAAAAAAACACTCCCTGTAAACAGATTTGCAATACCATATTCATCATTATTATTAATAACTCCAACTTTTGAAAGAGTTTAAAACACACAGAAATCTCTCGTACACATATATCTCTCATATATATTTTTTCAGATGTATACATGTTGTCACATCTTGTCACATCTTTCATTCTAAAAGTATATAGTTCAAAACACAGCAGAGAAATGTATATATCTCTCGTATACATTTTTTCACATGTATACATGTTTTCACAGCTTAATTTCATTCTAAAAGTATATGCTGCCACTCCAAGTACATAAGTTTAAGCAAGCACAGCGCTATTTAACTTTTTGTTTCCGATATTGCATAACATGTAACGAATTTTTCACAATAATGTAC